AAATTTCATCCTCCAAATACCCATTCAAGGTTTATTTTCCCTAGAAAATATAGGCGTTAACCGTGTCCAGGCTCCTATAATAATTCAATTCAGCATAATAGATTTAGTGGTTTAGGTATGGAAGCGTAACAAACACACAAAACTCACTGTCGCATTTATTGTATTCCATTTTGAGTACCTACAGAAGGCCGACACAAATGTAATTTAATAACCGACTCTTTAGTGCATCATTAATAACTCATTATCTATCTCCCCAATTAACCTACGTCCTAAGAACTTGCCTGAGACGTAACGTTACAATTCTTACAAAACAACCAAATGAGGCCACGGTTCTAAAGAAAAATAATTTTAAGACTTATTACACCCAGAGGTTACAGAGACGAGTATTTATTTGTCGCTGACTGTACAACTTGCTGACTGTACTTAATTCTTCATCATGCAAATGAAATGCTCTCTTAATACCGCCAACCCAATAAAATAGGTACCGACAACGCATACAAAATGAGACAGTTTTCAATTTCAATCAGTAAAATCTTTTTAAACTTTTTGAAGTTATCATTGAAATTAAAACACAAAGTTGAGTTAATGCTTCTTCTTATAGGATCATAAATTTCGATTCGACAAAATTAAATCCTTCTATTTATTTTTATTCTTTTGTTGTTATCTCAATTAACCTTCTAATGTTGCAAACATAAGACACTATACAAAACTTATAATTTCGTATACGTATCCTTTATTCCTTGATTGATATATGAGACACTAAAAATAAACTAAATGTTGTATGTTTTAAAATTAATTTAATTAAATTTTCAGCTTCATAAGATATAATTTTAAAAGTTAACAAATCTGGAGAATCGATTTGCTGCCAAAGAAACCACATCAGACGTAAACCAACCTCGAAAATGTGGTTCGATTCTCAGGGAAGAGGGTACGACATTATGTGCAACGCAGCGTTAGGGCAGGAAGTCAAAGCTTTCGAAAGAGACTTTAGGGCTAATGAAGGAACGACGTGAAAATCCACTCATCACTTCGTCGGCAAAACAGACTTTAAACCGAGAGATCAGTAAGCACGTACGACACGACCTGCGGTGTTCCAATACTCTCTCGATAGAGAGAGTGGTGTTACAACGGAACTCTTAAAGGCTAGGGGTCAAACCGTACTGAGGAGGCTCCAAAAGCTTTTTAATACTGTTCTGTTCGAAGGGAGAACTTCGCAGGCGTGGAGTGGGAGTGTGGTAAACTTGTTTTTTAAAAAGGGAGACAGGACCTTACTTAAGAACTATTGACCCATATCTACGTCTATAAGCTGTTCTCAAGAGTAATCGTAAACCGTCTTGCGCGAAGACTTCATCACTTCCAACCATTGGAACAAGCTGGGTTTCGGATCGGATACGGCACCATAGACCACATCCACACAGTGTGGCAGATTTTTCAGAAGACTGAAGAATACAATCAGCCCCTGTGCATAACATTTGTGGACTATGAGAAGGCCTTTGACTTGATTGGAGTCTGTCCTGGAGTCCCTGCAGCGTTGCCAACTCGACTGGCGGCACATCTTAGTGATTAAATGTTTTTACGAAGCCGCCACCATGTCTGTCCAAGTACAGAATCATCAAACAAGTCCCATACCCTAGCATTAGCATTAGCATTAGACAATTGGAAGTTATTTCCCCGAAATTGTTCGTTACGCAATGGAGGATATGTTCAAGACACTGCATCTCTCACTTACGATTTGCAGACGACATCGTCATCATGGCAGAAACTCTGCAGGACCTACAACAACTGCTGAATGACCTGGCTGACTCTTCTATACGCATCGGCATACGAATGAACTTGAATAAAACCAAGGTTATGTTCAATCAACATGTTCTACCGGAACCGATTGCAATACATGGTGCCGTTCTCAAAGTTGTTCAAAAATATGTGTACCTCGGGCAGACATTGCAATTAGGTAGAAGCAACTTTGAGGACGAGGTGAATAGAAGAATTCAGCTGGGTTGGACAGGATTTGGGAAGCTACGTCGAGTCTTGACATCGTCGATCCCCCAGTGCCTAACGAAAGTCTTCAGTCAGTGCGTCCTACCTGTGATGACATACGGAGCCGAAACGTGGACCCTGGCGGTACGGCTGGTCCACAAGTTCAAAGTCGCTCAGCACGCTATGGAAAGGGCATTGCTCAGCATTTCTCTGAAGGATCTGACAGAGAACCAGAGTGCCCAGAGCACTCTGGTTCTCTGTCGTCATACAAACGGTCGGAAAGCGAAACATACCTACGCCACTCCAGTTCGAGGGACTTTTGGGGGACATCCAGTCGTGAATGCGCCGCCGCGCCGCAGCGACGACCGAACGGTGTGAATTGTTTTTTATGCAGTTAGCCGTGCTTAAACGTGCGTTTTGTATTGTAAATATTTGATTGAATTAAGTAGATATGTACCTACATAATTTACTTGAACTCTTCGATAACGCACCCAGACATATCATTTTTTAAATTACCTGAAATATTGGAAAGGTTAGACTATAGAATATTTTTTTTATACCTATCTACTAGTACGTATTTTTTTTAATATGTAGGTATTTCGATTTTTCCATCGGGCAAAATATCTGGAATAATATATTTAATAGGGTGAAAAAAGAGACAAACGAGTAATCTACCTACACTCGCGTTAAAACAAAACTACTTAATAGGTAGGTAGTTTCCTAGACTAGGTATCTACTTACTTAACTACATACATTATTGAATAACTAAACTACATACATTATTAAATTAAATTAAATATCATTATGAAATAATTTAGGAAAGTAGTAAATGGTAGGTATTGTAGTGATCGGATCTTTTTGGTGTATACTGGCAGGTTATAAGGTAATTTGGAAAAGAGACGGATTGTTGACAGGAATTGATAGCTGGAAAATAAAAAAAAGGGAGATTTGTGCGGAGTTTAAAAAACAGTATTTTGTTTATTGATAATAATAATGTAATTTCTTTAAAATAAAAGTGTTTCAATGTCAATAATTAGTTTGCATGAAACGATCCCTACAGTATCTACCTAGTAAAATTTACCTACATTGTAGGTAATTTCCTTACACGACTGCGCCATGACTTACAAATAAATATAACTTGTATGTTTAAAATAATATTCTTTTATTGAATTACGTAAGAATAAAAATCAGCAGTCGGGTTTTTTACAAGCTTTTAATTATCTTGCAATATAGGTAGGTATATAACTTTGTTTGTTCGGGTGGAATCTTGAAACTCAATTTTGAAGCAGATATCTTCAACCGGTTGAGCTGAAATTTTGTATATACACGTTTTAATTAAAAAGCACGGTTAGCTGTGTGACGTCATTCTAAATCCAACATACTCAGACCAAATAACAGCGGAATTGTTATTTTTAATGCATTCCTACGATATGGGTATATGGGCTTGCGGAGAATCTTTACATATAAAATAAAATATTTACAATCACAAAACTAGAAAGAAACTCAATTATGTAGATGAAATTAAAATACTGTAGGCGGGCGACGCTACCGCGTGTTAATGCAGCGCTCGGCCGTAGGCATTTATTTCAAGGACAGTGCCGAGTCACAATAGTGTATAGATAATATTACCGTGACCAGAGTTATCGACATAGCCCACCGGATTAGCAGGTTGAAATGGCAGTTCCCCGGAACGGCGGCCCTCCTCCGCAGCGGACGGGGGGTGGTACGGTGGGCACTAGCATAGAATAATATATATACAATGGAACTAGGCCGCGTACCCAAAAGAAAGAGAAGTTCATTCAGTGCATTCGCCCGGATTGCGAAGGGTGCGGGTTCGAGTCCCGTCTGCTTTAGATTTAAACATCAAGCAGTTACATGCTTTAAAAATAATAAAAATTATAACTATAATTGCTATTTCTTCTTTCAAATGTTTAATACTTGTAAAAGTATTCATTTGACATTGTGGGTTTACCTATAATGCGAAGAGATGGCGCTGCCTTGCAGCTTAAGAATAGCTAGAAAAAATTTCGACGTGGTCCGTGAGGGCTGCGGTAGCATAATTGGTCAGTGCATTCGCCCGGATTGCGAAGGGTGCGGGTTCGAGTCCCGTCTGCTGCCTGGTCCGCGTGGAATTTTTTCTAGTTATATTTTCTTTAAAGAGAAGTTCGTTCCAAAGGTTATTTATAAGTCTTGTTCTATATCTTTATTCTCTTATGAGCTACGATTATGAAATTTTGCAGTGTGAGCACTATTAGAGCACTATTTTCTGTAAAAATATGTCTGCATAACAATAAGCTGTTTTCGAGAATGGCCTGGTGCATGCCAGCTTAACTGTCACTCCAGCGCACACCATGAAAACAGTTATTATTTTCTAAACTAAAGAGGAAGGTTTTTTTTATTATTGTACTAATTAGGCACTATATAATAGCATAAGTTTAGTAACAACCTCGAACTCGATGTGTGGTACGCTAGCATGACGGACAGTGATTTTGTCCAAATGAGTATAGGTGCCGGGCCTACATTCGTTTGACATCGTCAGACTGGAACTCGACAACGAGCGTCGCACTGTTTGCTGCAGGTGACGGTTCATTTACTTTAGATTTTGTTTCCTATGAATTTATATAGATTTTCATTGCGTTATGTTTATTTCACCAAATAGGTATCTATGAAAAACACTTAATATTAGTCACAAATTATACAGTAGTTACCGTAAGTAAAGCTGTTTTTTTTTTTAACTATCCCTGAAAAGTGCTAATAGGTTTGTGAGCATGTGAAGTGCTATGTAGTGTGGCGATATACTACTTTATACTACTTTATTCAACGAAATTTAATACATTTTTAATATCATTGACTTTATTGAGCAGCGTCACTGTCCCTCAGCTCCGTGGGCCACACTCAATTAAATAGATTTTAAAACTTGACTTGGTAAAAAATTATGATTTCCGAACGTTACGACTGTTGGCATTTGATATGTAAGATAACTAAATTCAAGAGGTCGCGTCGGTATAGCGATAATGTCATAAAAATCCAAATGCTTAGTACAAACTACTAGCGCCACAAATAACCTTTTTAAATTATTATACTTATAACAAATGGCATCGCCGTCTGCGAAGAAATGACATTAAATTATGATGAAAGAAAAAAACTGAAGTAGTTTAACGTGTTCATTTATTGTTTGATTTATTTAATTTTCGGTTCATAACAAAGATATGGTTTAAAAATGGATTTTCTAATGTGGTTTACGAATAATCAAAAGTAAGCAAAAAGTTATCAGATGTTTCCATGCTCCAAAGTGCCTGTTTCAGTGTTATCACTATTTATGTTGTTCTATCGGTGAGACAACAATAAGGTTTATTTAGCAACATGACGGATAATAAAGCGTTGACCATGGCATCCGCCAATGGTTTAATTGATAAATCTAAGGAACTCCAAAAGGAAATTCTTATGGAAAAACTTAGATCTAAAACATCACAGAATAAAAATTTGGCAGATACTTCTAAAGCTGTACGCATGGCCTTGCTGGTAAGTTAAATCTCTGTATAACTTAAATCAAATATACACATAAAAGAATAAACATATGGCAGTTAAATGCTTAAATAATAAAAACATAACATTTTTTCTTATTCTACAATTTTTTATAAAAATACTGTTACTCTTAGGATAAACGATGGGCTGTAGATAGTGCTGATCGGATGATTCTGCAAAAATGCCTTGATAGTCTGCAGCACTGCATTAAAATTAGTTCACTGCAAAGTCTAATTGAAAGACTTGAATGTCTCTCTCGGCAGCTTGGGTTTGTATAATATCTTATAGTCTGTTGGTTACACTTTTTAATCATACTTTTTTTTGTATTCAATAAGTATATTACTCATTGCAGTTTAAAGTTTGTTGTTGGAACATCAGGAGTGAATCTGTTTATATCTTCAGACATGTTTTATCTGGAAATATTGGTAGAATCCTCTGGCTCTATTAAGGATGTTAAAATTCACCATGAAGGGAAGGTGAGATTTTTTAACTAACCATATATATCAATCAAGTTTTGATGCCCTTTCCAATAGTTATGAACATATAATGATTTTGTAGATTGAACAACAAAGCTGTGAAGAACTCGTTTCATGTATATCCCGAGGTGACTTTGCAGATTTTACAGCCCAACTGGAAGGTCTTACTGCTGTTTATCAATTAAATGCTGAGAAAAAAGTAAGTACCTATATCGATTGACTGAGTAAACTCAGCAACCTAATATTAATTTGCTAAAGTAGTTTTATTCAATTTATAAATGCAAATACCAGTAGATTGTGCAGAGTTGGTCGCTGTAAGCGGAGTCTTAATAAACAGATGTACTTTAATAGGTACTTATATTAAAATCAAACCTCTGTTTATACTTATATAGCCAAAAATGGTTTGTTGCTATATTATGCGAAGACATACTTAACGGACTAAACTGTAGTCCTTGTCAAAACAATATCTGCTATATGGTTAGAATAAAACTAACGTAGCAGTTAATATTCAACATTATTCTGGCTAATGCACATAGCATATTTTTTTAAGCACCTCATGCGCATAGCAGTCTTTGTATTTGAAAATCAGTTGGTGTACTAGTCATAGTGGTGGAAATGTCATAATCAACAACCTCTGTGGCTTGTATGCCGAATTTCATGGTGTCGCCGACTCAAGAGGTCCCAGGTTCAAATCCTGGTCATGAATGTTTAATACATATTTCTAAATAAATATATTCGTATATGTATGCTATCCGTTACCCTAGCATCCCATAACACAAGCCTTAAAAAAATTGGTTTGTATTTTTTTAATTATTTTATAGGTGAAGTGTAAAGCTTTTAGTGCACTTCAAAGCTTGGAGGAAGATCTTTGTACTTTGCGCCAGCTACAGAGCTTTATCAAAGATCCATGGGCGCAAGTACATAAGAGCCCAATAGGATTCCTCCAAAAGCGCCGTGGAGGTACTATTAATTTGCTTTATAAAACTAGCTAAATTAAAACATCATTCTTTTAGATCATTTATTTAGAATTTACCTCTAAATATTTGCAGGTCATGCAATGCGTCTAACTTATTTTGTATCACCTTATGAACTATTGGACAAAGACAAAGGCCTTCAACCGTTAACAGGCGACCTATTGACTCTTGGAAAACCATCTGCCTCAAGTGGACTAGCATCCCTCGTTGCTCCCTCTCATACTCCAATTGGGCACTCCGCTACTGTGTTACTTGAAGGCTCAACAGCAAACAAGTTACAGCTGTCGCCTATTATTTCTGGAGGGCAGAGACCTGGAAAAGGGTGAGGGTATTTTTTCTATGGTACAATACAGAATTTGATTTATTTACTGTGTCTTTCTATACACAATAAATAAAATTTGTTTTGAGTAACAAATAAGCCTCTAACTCAATATTTGACGGCTCCGTTGCAACAAAATAATTATGCAGACTAACTAAAATTGTCATTGAAAGATACATTCGCTTTTCATTAAACTATGTTTTGTTGGCAGGTTAGTTAAAAAATTGTCAGTTGACTATTGTGGTTAATAATTGGGCATCTTTAAATATCTCTCTTATATTGGACGTATAATAATATAATTTAGAAACCAAAGAATTAGAAATGATAAGAAACACAAACTGCTCCAAAAAGTGGTCCCACACAAACTGTAATCTAGTTGCTTAGTTTTGGAACCATGTTTTAGCAGCCTTTGTTAGGGAGTTATGTTTCCATATCATTTCTAATTTGTTGTGTAATACTTGGTTTCTAAACTTTAAATCACATTATGTTTTATTCTTATTTTGTTACTTTTGTTTACTAGGAATGGACCAGTATATGCACCTTTAGTACCCCAGAACAGTGCTATGTTGCCAGCATGTTTCACTCTAAAACTTTCACAACCCACTCCTCTTTGTGCGGGTCTCTCCAAATTAATACATGCAACAACTGAGGTAATTTATTTTATTTCTATATAAATATACCTATATATGTAGAGTATATGTGTTCTATCCGTTACCCTAGTATCCCATAACACAAGCCTTATAGTGCTTACTTTGGGGCTAGGCTAATTGGTGTGAGTGTTGGAAATATTTATTTATTCTTAGTATTATTAAGTATCTTTTCATTATTAAAAACTAAAAGTACTTTACAAGTTTAATATTATATAAGTAATCAAAAAATTGTTACATAAGTGCTAATTTTTATTACAGGTAGAAGTTGCTGGTGACTGGGCAAATGCAAAACCAATGTTAGGGCTTGTTGCACAGCAGGCTTATAATAAACTTGCTCCAGGCAAGGTCATTGAATTAAATCTCAGCAAAGGACTGTTTGTGGTGAGAATAAGTTATTATTATACAGTACTGGTTAGTGTTTATGGGTTTCCATAATGATATGGACCACTGAAGTAAATATACAGAAGAAGGTGTATTCATATAACTTGATAGTGATATGAACACACCTTTTGTATATTTGCATAGTTAAGAAGTGCTAGATATTTGTGGTGAATATGGACGACTGATAATTTCAAATTAATTATAACGTAAACAAAACATCAAGTATACCTTTCTAGCTAACAGACATTTGTATGGAATGTTATCAAAAAATTGTTAATAACTTTCTAGCTAACAGACATTTGTATGGAATGTTATCCCGCCATCGTACCTACCGTGACAGTGGTACAGATGGTTTGTTAAAACTTTAAATAATGTTTTGACAGTACAAAATTATATTAATAACTAATGATCGTAAAAACCTAGATACACCACAAGTGCTCAAAATGTGTCCCAATCAAGTTATAAGTGCTTAAATAACACCCAAACACTTTTGGTTCCTCCAGAACACAGAAAGAGGTTAGAAGGGCCTTGTGGGCGGGGCAGGCGCGCCACAGTTATGTGTGAGCTAATGCTCATAACTTGACCAAAACTTTGTACAGATTGTGTCATTGCTCTCGGGTGTGAGCGCTGAATGGTTCGGTTTTTTGATTTGCTACTATCTATTAGGTGGAAGTGTAGTGAAGAGCCGACATCGGTTCCCGTACTATTCTATGATCACTCTTCTAACCTCTTTCTGTGTTCTGTGCTTGTTTCACATTCACGCTCGCGTCGTCCGTTTCAACGCGTCTGAAAGTCGAATATGCCCCAGAGCTCCTTGAAAACAAGCCAAATAAATACTTATAGTTCGTAGAGTAATGTTTTTAGCGATCCGTACCTCAATCGGCAAAAACGGAATCCTTGGGATCACTTGGTTGTTTCGACAGGTATCAAATCAAAGTGTAAATTTAACCCAAACCCAAACGCATAGTCGGTTATGTGGTCGTCTCTTTTTCTCGCTCTCCGTGCCTGCTAAATTGCTAAAAACGCATTTAGACAAGACAAAGACGCAAGACAAAAACATAAAGTCTATATTCTTCCGCCTATAATGACAAGTCGTAAAATCTTACGAGTTTGCATTTTGAACAGAGGATGTGAATAACTCTTTGATGCTTGCTTTTAAATTAAACCTTATATACTCGTTCTATGCATTAATGGTAACTTTGAATGTATAAATGTGCGCCATATTGTTTTTGACAACGCGATCATCACACGGAGCTCCGTGGAACGTCCAATGTACCTTTTGGACAGGTTTTGGCCACTATCTTGTTCGTGTGTTTTTAATTACATTTATTTTATAACATAGAAGAAGTGATTAGTAAGGTTGAACTTAAACGGGTTTCTTCTAGAATCTTCCGGAACAAACGCAATGCTATTTCCTATGCGAAACGCGAGGTCTAGAAGGATGTATAGTGACAAGCGTACCATTCACGCATCCATCGCACGTGCCTCCACTACTGGCCTGTTTAAGACAACAGGCACTCTTCAATGCACTCATCGCGAGCTGCGTACGATTACAAACAAAGCAAGGTACGTACCAAAAATTCACTTCACATACACTAGCATAACGAATTTCGACCTTATTCCTGCGTAATAAGAGGCTATAAACTAGAGATGGGCGTTTAGATATGTATTATTGAAATCGATGCGCATCGGTATCAGATAAATCGGATCCGATGCGTGCATCGATGCCAAGTGAATGTCAGTAGGATCACAGGATACGATGTGATATGAATTACGACAGTATCTCTTCGATTTCATGAATCGTGACACCATTTATATACTTTTCAGTATGATATAAGTATTGAATGCTGGCAAAATTATTACATAAAAATTTGCACTCAGAGCGTCGGTTTTGAACGCAGTCCAATACCACAAACTTTTCTGTGCCAGTGGGAAAAATTTGAACTACAATTTATCCATAACATTTTGACATTTTAATGACATATTTGTTCATCGCAAGCGACATCTCCACCGGCTCAGATAAGTCTGTGGCACTGTAGCTATAGTAACGTTGACAAAAACTAGATGGTATCGGCATCCAGTCGCATCGGATGCGCGCATCCAAACCTGGCATCGTTATCGCGCATCGTTATTCTAAAAACGCCCACCCCTACTATAAACATCAACTCTCACTGGGCCCTACTGGCCTGCTTGAGACAACAGGCACTCTTCAATGCACTCATCGCGAGTTGCGTACGCCTACAAACGAAGCAAGGTTTGTAAAAAACCACTACACATACACTAGACTACGAATTTCAATTTTATTGCTGCGTAATAAAAGTGCTATGAACACCAAAGAGGCTTACTTACCATTTGTCTTATGAGTACTCAAGACAGTGATTTTGGTTCACTTTGTCACATTAAGTATTAAGTAACTAAAATATAATGAGTTTATTGACCAACACAAATACATAATGACAAAGTCACTAAAAGAATTACGTAAGTTCCTAGAAATAAGAAAACGGACGGATAGAAGTGAAACCTATAAAAATGTGAATACGTAAAAGTCCTCCATGACATCCAAAGTACGTCTTAAAGATAACAGCTGTGTTACAATTCAACTCTCTAGGTCAAAATTAAATATTTTATATTTAAATTGTTTCGAAAAATAAATAATAGCGTTATGTTTAAATACATAATTAAACTAATCACTATAAATGACACAATATTAAACTATTTAATATAAGTTATATTTTTCACAAACAAAAATAAGCTTTATTACTTAGGCACCAACTTACATAAATGTACTTGCGATCGCACGCTCCATCTTAGGAATTTTAAGCAAACTATTTTAAAGTTTAGATAATTTAAAGCACGCATGCTTATATGCTAGTCTTGCTACAAAAGCACTGCCGCCATAATCGTATGAGAAAATGCTTCATTTCTCGATAGATGGCGGCACTAAAATGAATTAAAAAACAAATTATTAACATATTTTATAAAGATTAGATAGAACCTATGTAGCGATTAACGAGCAAGAAATAAACTGTAATAAACATTTCGCACGATAGCTATTAAATAAATAATGTACAACATCATAATTATGCTACACATAATATTACTATTCAAAATTAGTTAATTGAAACTTTTGTATTAAGGGAATAAGAAAAAACTACGCTAAAATAATCAGCTTGACCCGAGAAAATAAAAAAAAGTTAATTTTATAAATTGACCCCGGTGCCCCGCGAGATTGTGGAAGTGATTGATTACAAAAACACTGCCTTGTTTTTGCGGTAGATATAAAAGTGATGAGAAAACTCACAAACGTATGATATGTCCACGTATACAAAACACCACGGTTGTTGTGATGCCTTTTCTCAAGCTTAGTACACTCCCAAACGTTCCATGACACTTAAGTGTCAATTGAAAGTTTTGAAATAATAGCTCAATAAAAGAAAAAGAAACAATAAAAAAAAACAGGATCGAACCACCCATCATTTGGTGTCGACCCCAAGGCCGTTACCATTTGGCTATCTGTCTCTTGTAGTAAATGATTAAATTACGGATACGTATCTTGTATCGAATACTCTGCTTCCGTTTCATCGAATCTCTAATCACAACGATACTAAAGAATTTTTCACTTCAAAAAGAACTCTAAAAAACTGCTATATTTAAAAGTAATACTTAACTACCTGACCTGTACCTGGGATACAGAGCCCCTAACTAGAGACCGCATATATGAGCACACTCTTGTGCTAAGATTATGCAGCAAATCTGCATAAACATATGTCACGCCCCCAAACGTTGCCATACATCGTTTCACCAAATATGTCATTCGATCTGACGTAACACAGATACCGCAACTTTGGAGATTTGGATTTCAATCAAAAATTTAGTGATGCGCTCTAGTGGGGAGCTGTGTGAGCTGGGACGAGTGTTATCTTTTCTAGTAAATATTCTCTTTAGATATAAAAAAGCTAGCATTGAAATACTTAAATAAAATTGCAAACAAGTTTTAAAAATGCGTTTTTATACTTTTTCACAGAATTTTGACGTTTCGCATCCTTTTCGGGATGCGTCTACAGAATTACGAATTACATCCTGAAAAGGAAGTGAAACGTCAAAATTCTGTAAATAAAAATATTAAAAATAAAATTTTAAATACGTTCAAGAACTTGTTTCATTTAATAAGTGGTGTACGTGAACGAAACAACGAAACGAAACAAATATAATGTTATTATTTACAGTTGTAGACCTAGAAAGCGTACTTATGTTCGAAGTAAGTGCGCTATCGTGGCAGCACATTTCCATATCACTGGAACATCCTTTAGACGAGAGCATGGCCACCGTTGAACTGGAACTATCAGATCCATCAGCGCCTCGAGCCTCTGTGTACGCACTTAACTCTCCACCCAGAGAACAGATCGACGAATATATCAGTCGCGTTCTACAGAAAAGTCACTCTATACCAATCACTTTAAGGTAGGTAATTCACCGTGTTATTGATTTATTTCTCGAGCGTTTGAAGCAACAGTAGTTTGTAGTGTCTTTAACAACAAAATTATTGGGTAGTCCCGGTAGCGGCATTTGTTTGTTTGAGAAACTTAAGTATTTTTCACCAATACTTTATACATTTATATTACACTCATTTTTTATTTTCCATTATAAGTATACGTTATTTAGATACATTAAAAGTCCGGGTATTCGAAACAAATGTGCATGTGGTGGAACTTACTTGTCTTAGATTCATCTTACCGCTAAAATCCAATCAGATTACCAAATACAACAAAGCCCACACAAAAAAAGTATTGCAATGTAAACTGTGAATTGTTATTAGAAATGATAACAAAGTATGATAATGGCTCTCTTCAACTACTGACTACATTGAAAAACTAACGTTTTACTAATAAAAGAAACAATAATTTTCGGTTATTCAGCAATTCCGGGAAAACAGTTCAATGTATTACATAGTATAAGCAAGTAAGTCTATAAACAGAAATAGTTTTAAGAGGTAATAATAAACTTATAATCTGAGTTGTTTTACTATTTTGTTTTACCGAACAGATCGTTGGTGAAGATTTGGGAACGTGAAGCAGCGACAAAGCAAATGAACGGAGGCTATTCGGCTCTGGATTCAAATTTTAGCTGCGGCCTGGGGGGCATTGATCCCGGGGGCGACCATATCAAGCACGAACCCGGGACTATGCACGGCCGAGCTCTATACCCCTCGAACGTCAGTCATCCACACCAAGGTGGTAAGTTTCCAAGAAGTATATCCATCCAGATTTATTCCAATCTAAAACTCATTGTATAAAATCTGATTGTTTGGGATTTTTAATTTTAATCATTAGCCAAATTTTCTACATATATAAAAGTTGAGCTATTTAATGCTTCAATAAGGCATAGTTAAAAGTCTTATCTTTACGGGATTGAACATTCAACCATTAAATAAAATGAGCCAGTTCAAAATTTAAAACACTATTACTATTACCCCTTTTTTCGATAGGAGCATATCTTTCTGAACAACAACATCACCTCTCAATGATGTGCCAAGATCCCAACGCAGGTGACAAGAATCTCCAAACATCCGAAGAACGCAAATCAAAAAAGAGGAAATCCGACACTGACCCTTGGCCTTCGTCCCAGAAGAAAGGCAAACCGGGTCTCAGTGAAATGCCAGATTCGGACAGCGACAGTGATAATTCGGACGGTTACGTTAATGAAGATGAAAATACCATGAACAGTAATTCGACGAATGATGATATAGAAGGCCGAGAGTCGTCAGTTTCACAAAACGAGTTTGCATCTGATTTGGAACTATCTGGAATGGATGCAACCGACGCGATAGGGGGCCAAGACAATAGAACGTCCTCAGATTTAGAAAACTCTAACGATGGAGACGCAGAAGATATAATAAGGTATAAATTACATAATATACTAGTTTTCAATAAAAACATTTACGAGATACTCAAACATTATCAATTTGTTACAGGAATTCTTTTCAGAAGTCTGATCACAAAAGGCAAAAACTTAAAAGCAAAGATTCGGAATCTCGCAGGAGTACATCGTCTCTCCTAATGGACTTAACAGAAGGTAAATCGTACATGCCCTCTTCTGTAAGCATAACTCCTATCGGGACCACCGCTTCAAACACATCGAGATCTGAGTCAGGTTCCAGTATATCATCGATGTTGTGCCTAGATCGTCGGCCGGGTATAGAAATAATACCCATTACTGCAGCAGCTCCAGCGGCACTTCCTAGCTCCATAACTATCACACCGATCACATCAACCCAGATGAAAAGCCTCGACGACCGAAATCGATCCGAAAGAAAATCAAGTAAATCCGGTGAAGAGCGAAGCAAAGAAAAGAAAAAGAAGAGGCGAAGAGACGATTCTATGGGCCCTCCAGAGAAAGTACCACCGAAACAAGACCCTTTGACAAAACCGGTATCAGTGAGTATTAAACCTACCGACGGGTCTCCCATGCGGCCAACATCCCCAAACTCGCTTTTAAGAAAATTTAGCCCGAGTCCTACTCACGGTAGATCTGTCTCGATTACCAAATCGCCAAGCCCTAGCACCGTTAAAGGTATGGGTAAACCTTCAGGTACTTCTAGTCATCATAGCAGTCCTCGCCACTCTCCAGTGCAAAACAGTCCAAAGCACTTGCCAGGTTATTCAAGTCCAAAAAACCACAGCATTTCTTCCCCCAAACATAGCTCATCGGGGTCTGGAAAACCCAGCATGTCAGCTTTGAAGTCTGCTACCAGTGGCTCCCCTTCTGGTAAATCGGGAACAACGGGATATGATCTTTCGAAAAAGCTTTCTAAAGACAGTTATAATTCTAGTTCTGTGTCATCGAGAGACAAAGAAAAGAAACATTCCAGTTTATCTTTTTCTAGTTCAGATAGGAGTAGCCCTAAATTAAAAAACCCTGTTAAATTAAAGCAGCTCGAAATAACTCCCGTTTCTTGTGATAGTCCTGTCACTGAACCGTTGATATCCCCACCTAATATAGAAGTAAACAAATCTAATGCACCAAGCCAAGCTCGAAATAGGAAAGGTTCCCTCAGTGCTGTAATAGATAAATTGAAGTCTGCGCAGCATTGCGGCACAGACTCCGAACTCAGTGGTACAAAATCGAGTAGCTCATCCAGCAGTACTAACAAATTTTCAGATCCAAAAAATAGCACATCCGGAAGCAGTACTAAGACCAGTGAAAGTAAAAACCAGGAGTATATGGTAAAACCGAGCTTGGACGGTATGAAAATTACTATAAATAAAACTAGGACAAAGGAATCTAGTAGTAGTTCTAAATTAAATTATAGTAGTTCAAGTTCTAGTAAACAGTCGTCCCCTCAGTTGACCCCACCTAGCCAAGGTTCGCCTAAAACTCACACTGGGCTCAAGCCCGGCGTCATCAGCGGCCCCGCTTCTAAAAAGACACAAGCACTGCAGTCCTCTAAATCGAGCAGCATCACACCCGGTTCGACACCACCTAAAGCAAACATGAGTCCCTCAGATTCAACTTCTAGCAGCAGTAACATGCCTAAAGTGCCTTACTCAAAATCGTCCAGCACTAGCAGCGCTGGAATAAATTTATCTAAATCCGCCTCCAAATCAAGTTCTGGTTCACCAAAAAGTAGTAGTGCAGATATAACTAAGGTAATAAGAGATAGGGAACGCGAAAAAGCTAGGACAAAATTAATGAGCAATTCGGAAAAGTCTATGTTTTCCTCTAAGTCGGAAAGGCACTCCAGCCCGAGCGGATCTAAAGACGATGTGGATGGCGATAAATATAAGTCTAAAGAAGCTAATTTCCTAGTCGAAGGGTTGATGAAACCACTAGACAGGGGGTTTCAAATACCGAAATTAAAAAATCAAAGCACTCCAGACAAGAACAGTCCTGTATCTCAGTACGATAGTCGTTCTATGGTGAACGACTTCAGTAGAAGCTTAGAACAAAGCAAATATCCCTTTCCCCATTTCGACAATCCTAATTCTAGGTCATCAGATTTAACAAAAGCGGCGTATCCTCTCAACGTTCCGAAGCCTCTACTGAACATGGGTGGGTTGAGTCCGAAGATCGTTTCAGCAGGCAAAGGGGACCAATCGGATAGACCGATAGAGTTTGCCAAAGCGATGGCGGACAGCCTGACGAAGGGCGAGAGCCCGCAAAGGAAGGAGGATACGAAAGATGGCTTCTCGGGATCGTACCCGCTGATGCCGTTGGACTTCAAGACGGACATGGCTAAGGGCTTTCCGGCACCGAAGGGCAGCTCGGAGGATAGGAAGGGCGCGGACTCCTGTATGAAACCGCCGGCGAGCGGCGCGGTAGCGCGCAGTGGGGCGACCACGCCGCAGGAAGCAGCGGAGATGCTTTTGGATTTTTCTTCGTCTTCGGGCAACAAGGTGTCGGGCGTAGTGGCGGTGCGGCCCGTATATCCGCAGTCGCCAGCATTAGCCTTACAATTGGCCAAAAGTCCAGCGCCCTCACCGTTAGTGGTGCCGTCGCCACACTCCAACTCGCCCGCCATCACCGACGATGAACTCATGGACGAAGCGCTAGTCGGACCCGGCAAATGAGACCCCATACCACCGCCCCGTTACCTTATATTTTAAACCATTGACTTATCTCCAGATGAAGACTCATAAGATCATCGCTACCTGTGACGGTGCGGCACGGGCGAGCGGCTTACCATTTGGAAAAGGACTTGAATTTGTGAAGTTGAAAGCTATTTTACGATGATTTTATACTAAATGGCAAGCATCCATTTAAAGGTCACTTGATGCTCGTTATTTTTATATTCCTGTTGGTTTAGCTTGCCATATATGTAATGCCATTACCAGGTAATTAGCCCGATTAGGGAACAGCCAACGAACACAGGTAAATAAGTGGATTAGATCAAACTTGAAATCACACCAGTATAACTGTCATATGAATAATTTTACTCTACTAATTTAATCTTAAAAGTTTGGCTTGCGTTTTTCGAACGATAAATAATTATTGGTGTTCTGTGTTTCAAGGCTGACTGGATATTATATATCTTTAAAATTCATGTCATCGTTTCTGCCACAGCAATTAAAATTTCTAGAATAATGAAGATAATGTTGAACTTTGGCTTACGATAAATATACAAAATAGAGAATAATTAAAAAAGGTATCTTTGTAAGGGCTTCTTCGCACTGCGATATTTCACCGCGCGATTTTTATTCTCGCGTACTGTATGCCGTGGACGCAATAACAGCTAGTATGTATTGCATTTAAATATCATTCAATTTTTGTCAGTTCAATGTGGTTCCGGCTGAGACGACTGTCTTAAATAAACAGTAACAGAAAATTCGCATCGCATCGCGTTAAATTTTCATCTAATCACAGACTCATGCCGCGTGCTTTTTTTTCAGCTAGTGCGCCTATTTTAATATTGTATGTGTTATAGGATTGCGAGAATGAAAACGCGTGGTGAAATATCGCAATGTGGACAGGCTCTGATTACTCTCATGCTAGCACTTCATATGGGCAAATACGAATGTCCATCTGTAGTTCCAACATCAGTTAAATTTTACTCCGCCAAAATCAGCAGAAATATACACTAGTTTACCCTATTCTTAGATTAGGTGTTGGTAAAATCTGAAAACAGCTTACTTTAAAGACTGATTTACGCCGCGGCAACATTTGTCATTGGGGTATGCCCCAAGGCCACATGCTACAATAATTGTCGCACATTGTGACAGAAATCGTGCGGCGTGCCAACACATTGCGTCATGTGGCAAAGTGTTGTAGCTTGTATCCGAACACCATGGATTAGGTGGACAAAACAGTTTGTAGGTTATGTTTTGCTTGTATTTATTTTTCATATTAAGAATTATCGGTCATGGAGTGGTGAATGAAAAGTATTGATTAAATAATAAAAACAATAGAGTGAAACGTAATGTTTTAAAATTTAGATTAAGAGAGTATCAAAAAGAAAATAAGTAGTAGTAATTTCACCATTATGTACTAGATAAGATGTTGCCTCGGCGTAAAATAGACTGCCGCATGTTGCAAATGCCGCATTTTTTTTCTATTTGTAGCATGCCACCAGATAACCCTTGCGACAATATGTAGCATGTGCCACTGTCGCATGTTGTTGCCTCGGCGTAAATCAGCCTTTATGCTACATAAATGATATAAAAAAATATATATAAAAGTAATAGTCACATTTAAGAAAACGATCAGAAAGTCTACTATTGCTTGTCGCGACTTGTCATGAAAACGAAAAAAGTTTACGATATCGCGACAGTGTGCCGTAGTGTTATAATAAGTATAATCTCTCGATTATTCCAATTTGGCCGAATCTGACCTGGAGGGACCTGGGGATCAGTTTATCAGTAACCTTATGGTTAATAATTTTAACTTCACAAATCAAAGACCTGATTTACGTATCAAATGTTAACGTGTCAATGCTGAACTGCAGCCACAGTAAGGATGACCACCACTTATCTCCTTTCTTTAAAAATAAAATATTTTGCTAATGTAAATGTAATAATATGATGATGCGATTGCACGACCAAAGTTATAGTGGAGTTCAATACTTTTATTCAAAAATGGGAAACTTAGTGATTGTTTTCTATGAAATGAAATGAGTACAAGCGACCTGGCCTTATTAATTACGAAGAGCGATGCCACGTTTCGGTCTCGTAAATGTCTCGATCTCAGATTACAGAACAAAAGGCATATGAAACGCATGGAACACGCAAGTGCGGCCACCAAAGCAAATACGAAGTCAAAAGCGCATACTAAATCGCATCAGTACGCTACAACGCGTCGTGTTGTTAATACGTCCCGTGAATTTTATTTTTTTAATTAGACTGTTTCGCCTTGTTTATTGTAAATACTGTTTACAAACATAAAAATAGTCTTTACTTTTGACTTCGTATTTGCTTTGGTGGCCGCACTTTTGTGTTCTGTGCGTTCCAATTTTCTTTTGTTGTGTAATCTGAGATCACGATAATAGTTGTATTAACTTTATAACGTACCCACTAAGGTTTACTTTTGCTAATTTATTTGTCCGGACGGAGTTCCACGCTCAGATATATAACATTTAAATTGTGTGTTCTATTTTTAACATCGCTTTTATTGTACCAAGACATTTTTTTGTGATTTACTCATGTGTATATGTAATCATGTAATGATTGTACTCGTTTTGTCATGTATTCGACGAAGATAAAATTTAGACATGACTTAAGCTCATATAGATGTAACTATTATAAAAAACCACTTCTGAACACAACTGCCATGAATACAATTTAGTGTACAACATTTTGTCCTAATAAGTTATATAGCATAAACAAGATAATTGTAAATATAATGAATTAGTAATATATTATATAGAAATTATTGAATCGGTTAGGGATTTATGCTTATAGACGAAAATAAGTTTTTTTTAGAAATAAATAACATCAAAATCATAATAAGAAGTTTGATTTTAATATATGTAAAAATAATAAATAAATTTTTAACCTAGAATGAAATTATAAATAATTACAATTAGGGTTCATTATAATTAATAATAACCCAGAGAGCTTTGGTAATAGTAAGGATAAAATGGGTAGTAGTAATATACGCGCCTATTTGGTTTTCTTTTATAATTTCTTCGTGATGCAAATCGCCTTTTTGGTTTTTGTCGCCACCTAATTATAGGCACGGGTACCAAACCAGCCGCCGTTTCCATTATTTCTTCAGGGTGCCGTTCGATAACTTTATTGGGGTCCGCCAGAGGTAAGCTATTATCATATAAAACAGTATCTTCAGATTCTATCGCGCGGGGTAGCAGATATTGTGGCAAATCCACGGTTTCTTCAAAAATTACTTCCATATTTCCGTCGCTTTTTGTTTTACCCCCGATTATAGACTCTATATTCACTAGATCTTGTGGCAAATCCTTGGTCTCTTCAAAAATTACCTCCATATTCTCGTCGTTACCTGTTTTACCACCGATTATGGAGTCTATATTCGCTTGATTCTTTTGTTCCGCTTCTTCTTTGTTGAGGTTCAGGTTTGCGTCGTATTTTGCTTCTGACTCAATGTTTTCGGAGTGATGCATATGATTTTCATTAACGGAAACAGTTTGTTTTGAAATGGTACCTGCGGTGACGAATCCCAATGTCAGTAAAAGTAGCAGTCGCTGCTTCATTTTCTTTGATTCTGTAACAGGTCACTTTGTTAGATAGCTCTGAAGACAAGTGTGCAAGGTCGTTCGTGTCAAGGCCTTTTATTGTTTGCAATGTAGGTCGAGGAAAGTTGTAAGAATTGGAAGCGCTAATTACTTGATACTACAGACAAGTCATTCTAAAGTAAACATGTGATGTCAATAACCTACTAAAATAAAAGGACATTTAATATCATCGATTTCAATTAAATATAAGTAATTTACAATTTATAATATTAAGTATGGATGGGATGGAAATTTTCAATATTTTACGATTACTCGAATAAGCTAAGTCTAATTTTTAAATAAAAGATGTTAGGTACTTCTCACGCTTTCCGGCATTTCACGTATGAGATGCTTGCCTTTTTAATTGATATTTAATGATGATGGAAAAAACGTCCGACGCTCAGTGGGCAGGTTCTCTACAAGGTGGACAGACGATCTTGTGAGAGTCGCGGGAAGCTGATGGATGCGAGTGGCATAGGACCAATCGGTGTGACCGACCAAATAGAGGCCTATGCTCAGCAGTGGGCGTCGTAAGGCCGACATGATGATGGAAAAAAGAGTGATTGTAAGTCTCTCATAATTGCAGATGCAGTCGGTACCAACGGCTTAACTTTAACTTTGAAGCACGGTAAAGCTCGAGATAATAAATTTTTGCTCACCCATTCTATGATCGGTCATTGCCAACATTGCTTAATTTCCACAAACGCGTTAACGACAGTGTCACCGAGCTGCTTGATGGTATTTAATAATTTATATTTCATTCTGTTCTCTTACTTACATTTGTGTAAGTAAGCAATTGCTCGCCCTAGTTACGTGTTAAATATTAGGAGCTAGCGAGAAGTAAAACGGACGTAGACGCGGAAAGGAACTTTACTATTCTACATAAGTATATTGCTTATAAAGAAATTTCCTGTAAAAGCAATTATAACATTTGGTTTTACTGGACGGAGTGTATTTTTATCCTTAATTACCTTATTAAGTCAAAATAAGTACCTTAATCCCAATACTTAGGTTTCTACCTCGGTAATAATAATGTCCTGCTTCCATTCGTTAAGATGTAAGTTCAAGTGATTCGATGTTAAGAGGGCTACAAACATGGTCATTGTTTCTTTCTGAGACATTTCGTGGAAAGAAAAACTACCTAAGTTTAGGTAAGAATTAACTATTTTACTTCCTTCATCACGTTCAAAGCGATATTGAATTTGGGATAATGATATACCTACCATCCTTAGCAATAGTAATAATTCTATCCAAAAAATGCATTATGTACTGACATGATACCACCGGCGATAAGGTGATTCCCTGCAGTCAGCTTGAGGTCTGCCTGATTTTGGTCTAATCGGATTATTCCTTCTCTGTGCTTGGGCACGCAGCCTCCTTTCCTTCAATATCCGCATGGCAAATCGTGGTAAAAACGGATTTTGACTCTCCGCTGTATCCATTGTCTCTTCACCTTTATTTGACACGATTTCTGAAGTATCGACCGGTATTGCTTCGATCTGCATCACTAGCACTAGAAAAGCTAATAATGTAAGAAAAACAGACTTGAAATTTATCTCCATTGCGAAATTGGCTTTTTAATCTAAGCAGTTACTTGTACTAAGGTCTTTAACTGGTGTCTGATCCCAAAATAATTTCCAAATGAGGGTTCGTCATGTTTTATAGGGACGGTTTGTTTGGGTGACACACATCGGATGCATTTTTGTTGACAAGACCAGACGTTTTAGGAAACGTAACGGGTAATACGGTCACTTCCAATTAACATGTCCTCTACTCATATGCATAGCCTAAATGTTTCACATTTCCATTTTATTATTTAGGCATCTGACTTAATTAAATTAATGTGTGTGATGATTTAGCAAAATAGGCAGAAATCCTCCCAACGTAAAAAATATATGTAGTGAGATATGTTCCTACGCAGTGTTGTCGTTATATATATTGTAGGTACATAATGTTGATATGTCATGCACAAGCGCTCGTCGTCAGTCCTCGTCATCTTAATTTTTTTTTATTAAGTTGGTTTAAAGACAGATCTCGGAGAAGGTACTATTAACTGAAAGAAAATGACGGAGTATTTTAGTTTTAAAACGGCCAAAATGCAAAAATGGGTTATTTGGGAAAAAGTCAGTAAAGTTGGTGACCCTTGGAAATTTGTTTCTTTTTCTCTGCTTTAAGTCCGACACAAACCTTACACAAGGGCGGATCCAGGGGGAGAGTCATGGGGGTCATGACCCCCCCCTGGCCTGAGTCCATCTGTACCCGCTGTGACTTGACATTATAGAGTAGGTACCTTTCTGTCTGTCAACTGTGCGTTGGACGCATGCAGGATAACAGTGTGAAATTTATCAAAAAGGGCCTGAAAAATAAATTCAGAGTTTGCAACACGTGTATGATGCTAAAGGTTTACAAGCCTCCATAGGTTTTACCTGCGGTAAGTAAATGGAGTTACCACTAGGCAGTGGCCTTACCTGCGCCGCTTAGTAAATAGAGCTACCATTAGGCAGAGGCCTTACCTGCGGTTAGTAAATGCAGTTACCATTAGGCAGGCCGCGTGCTTGTTTGACACCTCATTGGTTAATGTATTCGTAATATGAAAACCCCTAGATAGACTTCTAGTCCTGAATTATAAAGCTTTAAGTCAATTGATTAGCAGTTGGTGTTTTCTGCAGCGAACTGGGAAAGCGCGGGCGGGTGGCACAGACAAGTGTGAACTGGCCGCCTGCCGCCGGTAAATAAATAGATAAATAATTAATAACTTTTGATTATAAAGGTTTTTTTACAATTTCCTGCTTACTACGAAAGAATCCCGCTTTTTTCACTCCAAAAGTTCCAAATCCGGAATTGGCAAAAAAAATCTGGCAACGCTGGTCTGCATACAGTAATGTGTGTTTATTTTTTAAGTTCTATTAACATCTAAATATTAAAAAGAAACAGTAGGTAACTGTACGGTACGGTCTATGAATATGAACACAAACGGTTAAATAGTATCAGTCATGTGCAGAACACCATGATTCATTATACAATAATGACGGCTATAAAAAGACAATTAAATGTTTGTTTTAGGTATAAACGATTGATTCCATGAAAAGGTCATAATCATCACCATACTATAACAAATGAATAAATTGAAATGAAACTTAATAAGAAGCGGAGTACTTACGCCATATTTTGTAATGACTTTATTGACCAATGATTATGGTCCATCCATGTCTCTATTTACGTGCCTATGCTATTTTTAACCGACTTAAAAAAAGGAGGTTCTGTGTTCGACTGTTTATTTTTTTAAATTATTTTATATGTATGTTACCGATTTCCAAAATTCTTTTTTTATTCGTAAGTAAGAATGCACTTCCGAGGTGGTCCCATTGGAACCAAGTCAGGATCTGATTGTGGAATCCGGGGAAATCGAGGGAACTTTCAAATTTCAAAGGCACGCACGTTGTTTTATTATGCATATTCGCAGATTTCTCTGTCAATTGTGTTATTGTTTACTTGGACGATGTAACTTTCACTAGAATGGATGAACTAAAAAAATTTAAACAAAAAATAAAAGCGACTTCGAAATCGAAAATGGAACTAAAAAGTAATACTTATCTGGTTCATGATTTGGAAATCGGATGGGGTCAAGATAGAAACATTAAAAAGATTTTCAAGCTTAACCCGCCCGACTTCCAAATCATGAACCAGATAAGTACCTATTATTTTTTACTTTTTAGTTCTTTTTCGATTTTTAAGTCGGTTTTATTTTATTTTTAATGTTTTTTTTAATCTTACTAAGTGAAGCTCGTTTGACCACGTTATACCTGTGGCGAAGCTACCAGAGTTAGGGGCGTAATTTTAAAAACAATATATGTATAGGTCAGACGATCTGTCGTCCCTAGCAGCTTACGGCCCGGGCAGTCTGCTGCCCCCGAGCCATGACCCTATTGGCTTTATGGTAAATACGCCCCTGATACTCTAGTACCATAGAAACTTATCTCTCCAGATAGGTATCTACGGTGCCATGCAGTAGGTAGGGCCCCCAAACCTCAGGAGGCCCTCAGCCCCTGACCAGAAGCAAACCTTAAATTGAACTAGCCTCCTCCCGGGCGGCTTGGCATTACGTAGCTGTGTTTTTTTTTATATTTTTACAGAAATAAAAATAAAATTGCTCCGCCCGACCGCTTAAGTGGAGTACCTATTCCATTTGTGATGGGGAAGTTAACGGCGCGGCGCGGTCAATGGCTTGCATACGTACCTACGTGATCCCTAGACATTCTTGATGTTAAATGTAGGTATTTATTTGTATCTGATTATATTTAACGTTTCTAATCATAAAAATAATTTCAATGCACCAGTTATTGACTCATTCGTATTAGAATGAGGATAAATCTGAACCTCTATTTTAAAATGTTTTCCTGATTCATTTAGCATGGCTCGTTCACAACGGATACCTACTAGAGAATCTATTTGTGTCAGGTAGGTACAAAAAGACAATATTAGAGATTTAAGCATGAGGTTTTCAATATAACAGTCCCCGCCCCGTTGCATGAGCACCTGCCCCCGTAGCATGAGCACTACAATTTACATTATGTCACGTTTTTTATCGCGTCTAACTGTCAAACTCCATAGTAATTTGACAATTGAGAGTGATAAAAACGCGTTATATATCATATCGCGGTGCTCATGCTAGGGGGGCATAATTAACATTATATCACGTTATTTTTATCGCGCCTGACTGTCGAACTCCATAGTTATTTGACAATTGAGCGTGATAAAAACAAGCTATATATCAAATTGCAAAAATTTACAAAAAAATGCTCTAATCTTAATGAAACATATCGACAGTGGAAAAGCTTACAGGTACACCACTTAGGTTCTGCTTAAAAATTGACTCAAATTCACTATAATTTTAATTTTTAAGCAGCACCAAAGTGGCATTTTAGCAATTTTGCTTTGCCACTGTCGATATAGACATATAGACGCAGAAAAAAAAACTGATTACAATGATAATTAAATAAGTCGTAGGATGTTTTGATA